TTAATTATAAAATATAACAGTTTATAATTAATTAATTATTAAAGAATTGTATGTGACTGTGCTACACATATGACGTAGATAAACTAAATTGTATAGTGCTTAGTATCTTTAATAGGTACCAATAGAGATGGCCTAGACTGCCCTAGTGGGCATATATATATATATATTTATATATATTCAAAATACAGGTAATGAAAATCTAAAGTTGAGATCTCTAGATGGTGGTGAGCATTGGTAATTCAACCTACCCGTTTGGCCCTCCTTATTGGATCATACACTTTATTCCGTTCCCTCCGTACAAACGTGACTATATTAAAGCATGGTTTTTCATTTCACACACACACTCACTATATATATATATAGATTGCTTCAGGCAATAAATTATTTTATTTTTTTTGTATTTTGCCTGGCAATGGGTTAGAGGGAAACGGGACGGTGGGTGGCTCGAACACCGGCACTCTCACGTCACACCGAAAAACTCACCCATCAAGTAAGCTACAAGACACGCTCGCACACCATTCAAGTAAAAAACTTACACACTTATTTTGTTTTTAGGGAAATTTTAAGCTTTAACTTTCAAAGTAAAAAGTCGGGAGACTAAATTAATGTTCACACTTACAAACGCTACCTTGTTGGAGGCCCACTAAGACACAACCTCTTGGTAAGCCCTAGAACGACCTTATGTTTTGTCGAGTCCCTATTGACTTTTGATTGTGCCTTGTGGAGCCTCTACGAACTCTTGCAATGTGTCTTGTTTTGTCGAGTCTCAATGCAAAATAAATGCCAAATATTAGGTTTCTATCAATCCCTTTAATAGGGTTAAAAAAGTTAATTGTTTATGAAAGTGGTATATTAATATAATTTTACAAAGTGTCATTATTTTAAAATTACAAATTCTTAAATTATAAAAGTTTAATAAATAGTAAAAGGGTGAATAATGAATTTAACTAACCATCCAACTCCTATCCTTCACTTTTTTTTGTTTCATCTTGCTTTTCATGACAAATCCTCCTCTAAAATTTGGCTGGGATAATAAGAGATTTTCGACATTATAAGTATGTATTCTAAATAGGATTATACGTACACAATCCTATGTCTGCATTGAAAGGGTGTTTTTAATTTCAAACTTGCGATAAGTGACACAGTGGAACAACCTTATCCCAAACCAACCAAAAGTAAAAAGTAAAAAGTAAAAAATAATAAATAAATAAAAGAAATAAAAACGAAAAAGAAACTGAAACTGAAATGAATATAGAACTCTGAAGTGAGTTGAGCACCAGCATCCAAGTGGGTATTATTTAAAGTGATCCATAAATATTGGACCACTCTTGTGCGCCAATTTTATGCTCCCAGCCTTTTGAGTGTGTGTGTGTATATATTAATTAGTAGTTCCCATCATTGGATTGCATTCATTTCCTACCGTCTTCTTCATAAAAATTAAAAAATTGAGTTCAGAAAACATTTATAAAAAAAAAACTATAAATAGAAAGAAAAAAAACAAAACAAAACCTTGAGTTAGTGGAACAAAACAGAGTTTTGAATGTCATAAAAAGCTTTGCAAGTAAGTCAAATAATTCTTTTTTTTTTTTTTTTTAAATTCATTTTCTTTTCACTTCACAATTAGCAATATACATCAAGCTATGATATAAGAAAAATCCATTAATTTTTATTAATAAATGAAAATAATTTAACTTTTCTCTAAAAATCCCTGTCTGACTAATTGTAATTAGATTATTTTTCTTGTTAATTTTGAACTATTAGTGTGTGATAAGTGAATTAAAAATAAAATTTAAAAAAAATCCAAGGAAATTATTATTTTTTAATAATTCCACTTTCTGCACATTTCTCTATCTTTATTCTCCTTTTATTTCTATTTTATTCCTGAATAAACAAGAGAATAGAATAGATTTAAAATATATATATATATATATATTTTTTTTCAAAAGAGGGGAGAGTATTAAAACCTCTCTAAATAGGTAAGTAGTTTGATTCCAATCAAAGTTATGATTGCAAGGCTATTTTAAAGGGGTCAACGGTTAGACATATTTGACTAAATTTATATGAGAATGAGATGGCGTCAAGATAACATCATTATATTTAATGATTTCATGATAATGTCATTCCCCACCCACCTAAATCGATCAAATTTATCCAAAAGTATATATAAAAAATATTTTTAAAAAAAATTAGTATAATAAATAAAATGGCATCGAATAAAAAAAAAAAATTAAAATGACAAAATTCAGTGGCCAATCCTATTAAAATAAAATCATACAAGAAACTAAATAAAAACAATGAATAGACAGGAGTGGTCCGGAGGTCTAATTAAAAATTGGATGCAAAAACCCTAAAAAGAGAGAAACAGTAAAGGCTATCAACTTAAAACTACGTAATGGATTGAAGACTATTGAAAATGTCTTTTTAAGATCACAACTGACCTGAACTTGTCACACACTTTCTCTTACCTTTTATATTTTTTAATTTTTTAAATGATAGTTTAATGGTATTTTTTATTTTTTAAAATAAAATGTCAAGATAACCTGAGTGTGTGAATTTCTCGCCCTCAAATAAAATATAAAAAAAGAAATTGTGATCAATAAACATTTTTCACATAAGTTTTTTATTTTATTTATTGGTAAGCATGTAATTTTATATCCATCGACCACTTTATTTTTTTATTTTCACATTGACCATTTTATTTATATAGAAATTTTCAATTTTCTTTTCTTCAGTTTCCCATTCCAAACACCGCGTATATTGAATTTTTTATTTTATTTTTAATAAAAAAAAAAACACACGGCGTAATAAATGGTCAAACTCAACAAAATAATATACGCGGAATTTACATGTGAACGTTGACGTGTTCACTTTTCAGTCGTCGATGGTGTGGAATCTTCCCCTCTGTACACACTTTTGACCCGATTGGGTCTTTATCATATCTTCGTGGCAAAGTTACAAATATGTCCTTCATTAAAGGCATGATTGAATCTTTTCTTATCAGCTAAACCTTTTGACTTCTTGTCTATATCTTTCGCAACCTAACCACCTCTGACCTTTGTTTCTTGTCACAATTAATAATCTCTCCGTTATTTTATTTTGACATTTATTAACTTAAATATGGACAAATTGCATAAACTCTATTCCACTTTATTTTTTCACATAAAACCTTGATGGAAAATTTTGAAAAATACACACCATTAAAGTGATCTTGTAATGACAAAAATATTCTTTAATATAAAAAATAATAATAATGCATTCGACTGTCGGATGTTGTATCACAATTCACGACTTTAATATAAATTTTAAAAAAATTAAGTTTCCTTAAAATGATTTTCATTTTAAGTTTTCTGTTCATTTTTAATTTGTTCCAATGTATTTTTATTTTCTTATAATTACACCATTATTATTATTAGTTTTTTGAAAATAATTTTTAACAATATTATTCCGAATAAGTTATTTGTACTAATTTTAATCTTATATTAACGAGCACCATTTTTTTTAATTTATATCAAGGGACATTTTTGTCACGATAACATTACTTTACAACAATTGAATGATTTACCGGCTCATACACTTTCGGGCTCATACACCCACTTGTCCCAACCCTTACCTTCTACTTTGGAAGGCAATGAATTACCACTAAGCTCCTTAGGTAACAATTGGATGGTGCGCGCGCTTGAACTTTTAAGGGGGAAAAAAATTCAAATTTAACAATCATCCTTATGAACCCATATTTCCTCTTATTTAGGGAATTCTTTTATTTTAGTGCAACATCTATACAACAATTATATTACAAAATGCAACATCTATACAACAAATGATGTAACAGTTCTGCAACATATTTATATCGAAGATACATATCTGTATAACATATTAATCATATTGCCTCAATTTAACAATTTACATAATTGTTATGTTGTTGATTTAAAGAGAGTTCCGTTAATGATGTAAAATTATGGCATCAATTGTTCATATTTTCGGCCGTTGAGCTTTCTAGTTTGTGGAGAGATATCAATTTGTAGAATCACCCATGACTATCCCCAAGAAAGAGGGGCTCCCTCGCGGTTTTGAGATCTCTCATATCGTGGGCTGTCTCGGTCCATTCTATCATAGACACAGTTTGTTTTGGCGGAATAATGGATTGAGAAACCATCCTAAGAGGCTGAGAGGGGAAGAGAGATGAAAAAAATGGAGTGACAGAGATACGAAAAGAAAGAGAGGAGAAACAGCATCCTAGTCCATAATATACACTACACGCACAAGCACACAATTTTTTACCGTTACAAAGACAAAAGAAACCGTGGACTTTGATCAAACTCACTTCAAAACGCTAATGTAAACGCTACTGTTTTGTTTGCCTTTTTTTTTTTTTTTTTTTAATGTATTATTGTATATAACTTTTTGCACATTCCATTTGGGAAGGTCACACATATTGAGAAATAATATAAAAAGATTGTCCTAAATCCTTGTGGTTTTGAACTGTCTCTCACTACCACCAACCATAGATTTATCTGAAAACAAACTCGGTTATTCTTGATCCAAATTTCCCCAAAATAAATGCAGCTCGTTTTCCAGCTCACGACCCAGATTCTCTAATCTTTGCTTGAACAAACCCTTTGATTACGCGCCTGTTCTGTGTGAACTCCTTTCTCTCTCAAAAAGCTCTCTGGTTTGTGGTTGGTGGTGAGAGAGTATGGCAGGGGATACTTCAACCACGGTGAGGGAGCTTGACCGAACACCCACATGGGCCGTAGCTGGTGTCTGTGCCGTCATCATCATCCTCTCTATTGCCTTAGAAAAAATCCTTCACAGAGTTGGATCGGTATGTATTGCCATTATAAACACACCCAAATTGTCCTTTTTTTTTTGTTCCTCTCCAAGTTTGTCGTCTTTTGATTTTGCTCTTCTTTTCTTCATTTCATTTTGTTAGATATTATTATTTATGGGTTTTGTTAATTTTTTTATTTTCAATTTACAATTATGACCCAAAAAGAAATTTGTCTGCAGTGGTCTTAGTTCGTCCTCTCAACACTGTCCACCATGTTTTTGTGCCTCTCCAAGTTTGCTGTCTTTTGATTTTGCTGCTCTTTTCTTCATTCTGGTTTTGTTTAGAGATTATTATTTATGGGTTTTGTTTATTTTTTCATTTTCATTTTTCAATTATGACCCAAAAAGAAATTTTCTGCAGAGGTGTTCATAGTTTTACCAGATTAGTTAGGGAGAGTACGTACTTTCTGTTTCTTAGACAGATAATTTGAGGCTTTCAACTTGGAATTATGGAAAGGAGTAGCTAAAAATTGATTCTTTTTTCTTTTTTGTTGGTTATTTTTTGATTTTTAGGGTTGGTTTCATTAAATTTAACTTTAGCTTTTTTGATTAGGAAAACACTTTAAACTTTATCCCTGCTTATGTATGAAGCAAAAGGAAAACACTTTAAACTTTTTCCCTCTTTATCTATGAAGCAAAACAATATATATGTTTTTTTTTGTTTTTGTTTTGGGTAACGAAGAATCAACCCACCGGCAATCCAATTTGAGCTTTCCCATTGTTCGCATTCCGGTTGCACTCAATTGCCTGCAAACCACATGGATCATTTAAACTCAGGCCTCACGTTCAGTGAGACTCGAACCATAGAGGCAGAGACCTAAGGGGAGTACCCCCAAAGGTCTTACCTGCCGAGCTGCCCGCGAGGGCTATGATATATATATACTTGGAATAAGTATGCTTGGCTTGGCTTGGCTTCCGTTAATTTCCTTGATTTTATTTTAATTTTTGTTGTCTCCTAGTAGTGCGTGGTTCTGTTTTAACTGGTTCATGTTGTTCAATTCAATAAATATTTTAACTTATTGATTCCAGTTTGATGCTCCTTGAGTGCTTCTGATTAACTTAGATATTATTGACACAATGAAAATTTCTATTCAGTGGTTTACAGATAGGCACAAGAAAGCTCTTTTGGAAGCTCTGGAGAAAGTTAAAGCCGGTAAAAAAGCATTACATGTGATGATTGATGACAATATTTTCCCTTATTAGTGATCCTTATTGAACTACAAATTAGTGACTCTTGCTGAACATTCATTCTGTTGTTGCAGAGTTGATGGTCCTCGGTTTCATCTCGCTTCTCCTGACATTTTCTCAGTACTACGTTGTCAAAATTTGTATTTCCAAAAATGTCGCAGACACTATGTTGCCATGTCCTATAAAGGAAGCAGCCACCGAGGAGGAAGGTCGTCGAAGGCTTCTATGGTATGAGCGTAGATCTTTAGCTGCTGGTAGCTATCCTTCTCCTTGCAGCACGGTAAGTATATCTATCACCGTATTACATTATGTAATTGAGCCACATAATTGGTGATATAGTTGTTGTAGTGAAAACTAGTGATGATGATAAGGAGGAGGATCAGCATATTTGGCAGTTCTCAATAAATGTATGAGTGAGAGCCCAAATGTACATGTCTATATTTAGATGGCTAAAACTCACTTCCTATATATGTATGTATGCAGTCATCGTACCAATATAAATATGTCTATACCAAGTGTAATATTATGTTGTTCTAATGATATTAATGCATCTAAATATATTTCTTAATAATTCAATTATAAAACACAGATTTTTCTGAATTTTGGACACCACCTACCCATAGGAGGTACATGTTAGAAACACGACTTCAATTGTGATGGAAAGAACCAGGTCAAAGTCGTTAGACTGTCTATATTTACACATTTTCTGTATATCAATAATGATTCTTGTGCCAGTAAACACTAAATTTTGTAATCTTTATTTGACAATATGAAACAACATACTTGTCTTCTTATCCACTTGTTCACAAATCTCTGGGACTTCCCTATTGACGTAAATGACTTCCATTTCCAGATAAATGAAAATTCTAAATGCATTGGTAACTACTTGCTGGTTGCATATTTAAGTTGATTCCACGGGTTAAAAGCATAAATTTTGACCCATTAACGAAGACTTAAAAATAAAAAATGTGTGCCAAAGAGCTACTCTCATAATTTGTCTCTGCAACTTAACCAGTCATACTTTTGTACTTCTTTTACCTTGGTATTAGTTTGCACCTTGCACCTTTTATCTTTTAGTTTTGAAATTGTAAAAGTTGTTCTGATATCTTGAATTAGTTACTTCTGTAACTCAGGATTTGAAACAAAAATAAAATTAAGAACTCAATACTACGCATAACAGATGGAGGTTCTGAATTACAGATCATTTCTCTTATTCAACTTCTGCTGATAATCCTGACCACTTCTCTAGTCAACTTTTGAAGAGGATCTTTACATTTAATTTTGCATTACTTATTGAGATGATGACATTCAATTTGGTCTTCCTTTAAGCGGATCTCACTCTTGTCAACAGGGGAAAGTGCCACTTATATCTGTCAACGGACTGCATCAGATACACATCCTCATATTCTTTCTAGCAGTCTTTCACGTGATATATAGTGCCATCACGATGGCGCTTGGCAGACTAAAGGTAGTTTGAAATATGACAATTTATTACATGTTGACATTTTTTTGTTATACTTTAAATGCTATGCCATATGTTACTATGCTAGGTTGCTTAGGGCATACTGGGCCGGAGCTGGCAGCATCCGAATTTCTTATCTCATTCAAGTAGCTTAGCTTGTTATATCTTTAGCCACTGAGAATTTGATTGATCGATGTCACTGGAATTTTGTGGGAGTAACAAAGACTTCTTCAACAATATTATCTCCAATAAATTAGTTGGGAAATGCTTTGCATAACAATAATTTATTTATTTATTGAAAGTTGGAAAGGCCCTTTTGTCTAGCATTGTACTAGTAGTAGTAGGAAAGATGCTACCAAAAAAAAGTCGGCCTGATTTGGCTAGCTGGTTGTTAGGCTTGGCTTGAAAAACTAATGAGCCCCAAATTAAGATTGATATTGGTTTCTTTATCTCTGCAACTGATGCCAAACGAGATTTTAATTTTGAGCTCTCTTCAAGAAGCTGTAAATCTCCTTGATTTCAGATAAACAACTGAGTGCCTTCTGCTCCTTTTGGTCTTTTGTATCTATTGATCTCCTACCAACTCACATTGTCCTTATCGAATCCTTGATAGGCAGATAGGACTACTCCTGCTTGCTCTTGGCCTTGGCTGCTTAGAGACATACCTTAAGTTCGTCTTTAATGATTTATTAAACAATCCCTCAACAGGTTTGATAGAGCAGGGGGAGGAAGGAAGAGTATCAAAGCTAATAAGAGAATTAGGGTGCTAAAACAATAACCCAAAACCCGCTTGTTTAGAGAATGAAACTGTTCCTGTAGTCGATCTCCATTTGAAGTCTTAGGGTGCTCAAAGGCATGTGACCCGATTTTGAGTCTGGAAAAAAAATAAACAGGAGATGAAATTTGTTTGGGACTGTTATGTTCCGGACTATAGAGGAAAGCAGCATAACAATATGGATCAAAGCAACAATTGTCTCAACCATTTATGTCTGCATAAAACCTAAACTTGGTCGTGGTCCAACCAGACAGTGCCAGAACAATGAACCAAGAGGTCACGGCCTGAATATATTCCTATCCATCCCCGACGTGGACACGCCTTTGACAGCTTTTTTGCCATTGTATTGCTTCTAAGGTGGTACTTGGCATTTTAAATTATAGTTTGCCTTTAAAAAGCCATTACCTAGTGTTGGTCCCACTAATGTGCCTAGCTTTCAGCATTATTTTGCACAAAGTGACTACTATTAGAACCTGTGTTCTTACGCTTTGGCGCCTTAGCTTTTTCTATTATAACAAACAGCGGTTCTTGCCAGTTGCCTCTATTGTGAATAATGTTTAGTTGTTTGCTGAAATCTTCCTTATGCAGATTCGTGGCTGGAAAGAATGGGAGCAGGAGACTTCATCCCATAACTATGAGTTCTCCAATGGTAATCTTTGCAATGATTTATAAAGGAGCATTTCTTCATGTTTCAGCTTTAAATTTGATGTTCCTCATCTCTGAACATGGGTTTTTTATTAAATTATTTCTCTCCCATGATGATAACATGCAGATCCATCGAGATTCAGGCTTACGCACGAGACATCTTTTGTGAGAGCACATACTAGTTTCTGGACTAGGATCCCATTCTTCTTCTATATTGTAAGATATAATTCTCTAATTTTCTCATGCATGTTCATTTTCAAATTTTTTTTTTTCTTTTCGTGAAATCATATAATTTGTTTGATACAAGGTGAAAGAAGAGATAACATGATACTAAGACTTTGCACATGTGACCGCAGTCTATTATTAGCAATATATAGCTGACTTGAATTTAGTGTTCATATGTTTTTAGCACCCACTATTAGAAGTCATCTGATCAACTTGATATTAAGATTCTTAAAATATCAATCTCTTGCAGGGATGCTTCTTTCGACAATTTTTCAGATCTGTTAGCAAGTCTGATTACTTAACCTTGCGCAATGGATTCATCACTGTAAGTTTTCTATTGCACAAATTTCTACTATTTATTTTTGATAATTTATGTCTTTTTTATTTTTATTTTATATAGTTGTACTTTTTATAGGTCCATTTAGGTACTGGAAGTAAATTTGACTTCCAAAAGTATATCAAAAGATCACTAGAGGATGACTTCAAGGTAATCGTGGGAGTCAGGTAATATTCTTCTTATTGAATATGTTGTTCTGTTGAATCATCTTTTGGAGGTTATCACGAACTAATCTTTATGATGTTTGCAGTCCTGTGTTATGGGCGTCATTTGTGGTATTCTTGCTCATAAATGTTAATGGTGAGTTACTCTTTTTAGTAAAACACATTCCAAGTATATAATTTTCACCTCCAAATTGACCTACATATTGGTGGTGTTATTAAACATTGTGTTTCCGTTCAGGATGGAAGGCATTGTTCTGGGCATCCTTAATTCCTATGCTGGTTAGGAACCTTTTATTCATCATATATTTTGTAGATTAATACGGAAAACAAATCCTAAGTGTGTAATTGTTCTCAGATAGTCTTGGCTGTTGGAACAAAGCTTCAAGCTGTTTTAACAAAAATGGCACTTGAAATCACAGAAAGACATGCAGTTGTCCAAGGGATACCACTTGTGCAAGGCTCGGACAAATATTTTTGGTTTAGTTGGCCTCGCTTAGTTCTTCATCTTATCCATTTCTCTTTGTTTCAGGTATTAAATTTCTTCTTATTCTGACAATAGATTTTAAATTAAGCACCAACTAGGAGCACTCTATTAACTCATTTGAATTATCATTTTTTTGAACTCGTCAAATTCAGTGTTCTTTATTAAATACCCATCACTAATTAGGGCTTGGGTTATACTGTTATAGTCTCATAGATACTTGTTCTCCTTGTATTACCTTAGAATCCATTTTGAAGTTAACAAATTGTCTATAATGGCAATGAGAATTGGCATCTGATTAGGGCTCGGGTCAATTTTGACCACCAGATCATTATTATACGGTTGTGGACACAGCTAATCCTGTTTCTCAACCCCTATCTGTAGTACTTGTTCTTTATTTGCAGTCATTGTCTATGTAATTGAAAATTTCTATTTACTTTATTTTATTGCTTTAGCTTGAATCTTTTCTTGATTGTTATCTTTTTCTTTTTTTTTCCTTGTGGTTATGCAGAATGCGTTTCAACTCACATATTTCTTGTGGATATGGGTAAATGAACATTCCCCTGGCTTGGCTATCAAATTTTAGTTTATTTTTTATTTATTGAAAATAATGATACAAACATTTTCTTTCGTGCAGTATGAGTTTGGGTTGACATCGTGCTTCCATGATAATTTCAAGCTTGTAATTATAAAAATTGCAATTGGGTAAGGGTTTTTTTTTTTCTAATTTTTTTTTTTTTTCTTCTTTTTTACAAATATTAAATGCCACCTTATGTGTGGAGATCATTAGTCTGAAGCTACATGACCTTGAATTTACGGAGTGATGTTTGTTGCGGTTTCCCAGGGTCGCAGTCCTATTCTTATGCAGCTACATTACACTTCCGCTATATGCCCTCATAACTCAGGTACCATACCATCACTGTGTTTAATGTAATTTCATGTAGCATATGATATCTAGTGAAGCTATAAGAATAGCTTACATTATATTGTTAGAGTGAACTGTGAACATCTCTAAGACAAGTTTTGGAGACTAAAGAGTTCCAAGTTCAACTGCTTTATCAGATGCCAAAACTGTCAAGTTTTCAGCTATCAACCTTCGGTTTTGTCTATTGCCACTAAACCGAACTCTCCGCATTTCTATCAGTATAAATGACAAAGTTTTCGGTTCTACTAAAGCATTAAAGAATCTACATGAACGAACTGTTTCAAACAACTGAATTGGCTGATAATTGTTATGTTGGGAACTCACAGATGGGTTCAAACATGAAGAAATCTATTTTTGACGAACATACGTCAAAGGCCCTTAAGAAATGGCACATGGCTGCGAAGAAGAAGCACGGGAGAACAGGAAGGTCCCCCATTCGAACCCCTGGTGGAGGAAGCCCAACAGCTTCAATGGCTGGTTCAACAGTGCCCTCCACTGGGGCTTCACTCCACCGGTTCAAGACTACCGGCCACTCAACCCGCTCATTCACCTACAACGACCCTGAAACGTCTGATTATGAAGCAGATCCACCGTCACCCACATCATCTACTGCCAACTTGATTATAAATGTTGACCACGATGATTCAGACACTGAAATCATTGTACCCCACACTGAGGAAGAAACCAGAAAAAAAGAAGACGACTTCTCATTTGTGAAGCCTGCCCCGTCGAAGTGAAGATGATGCTGGAAATTGCTGCCAAAACCATCAACACTCTGTATGATTTTTTGTTGCATGTATTTTGAGAAAATTTGTAAACATTGAAAAGCAGCTTCATTTTATGTAGTGGCATCTATTGTAACATCAACTTGATGTGCTTGTTCATAAATTATAGTTTTCAGTCCACAATTTTGCCTATGTTCTGGGCAAATTTTGCTAATCTGAGAGCATGTATAAATTCAAACCCTATGATTTGAGATGATGTTCATTATATAAATGTTGTATTATGCTAATGTATTTTAGATGATTTACACTTAAGTCCCATAAAGCGAAAGTGTAAAAACGGTAAAATTAAATCACAAATAGTAAAAATTTGAGTGAGAACGTGCGGTAGAGCGTGACCCGTTGAGAAAAAGTGACTGTTGTGCTTCCTTAGGCTTCTATGCTATGTCTCCCTTTCATAGGGGACAAGGTGGATACTTTTATACCCGTCTATAGTCTTCTATCTGAAATCACTATGTTTTTGTTCACACAATTTTCTAGGTTGGTGAAAATGGGAATATAGTGACATTTTTTTTTTTTTTTTAATTGCAATATCATAGGGTTTTTTTTTTTGTTTGTTAATATAATCTTTACTTACCCTAAAAAAAATAATAATAATAAAAGATAATAATAATAATAATAGGTCTCAAAAAGGAAAAGTAGGTGGGGGCCTACTTGGCAGACAGTTTCACTTGTATTGGTTGTAAATCTCTACCCATGCAATTGTTTCTCTTTGATCATTTCTGTGAAACATCATATTGCCATAGTTGGCTGATTTTGTGAATGAAATGGTTAGTGCAAGAACAGTATTGGCTTACACTTTTGAGGCATGATTACAATATAGTATTATATATATGTATATATACAAATATATAAATGTATTAACAAATTTTATGTACTTGTCGATCTCCCAAAATTTTATCATGTCAAAGAATTCTAAATTGATTTATAAAAATAACAAAATAAAAAGAGGTGAAAGTTGGATAAATGGAGGTGGTAAGAAATTGACATGTAGTTTACTATGAATATTGAATTCTCTCACTTATCTTGAGACGATGAGTACAACCACCACCATCATCACCACCACCACCACCACCACCACCACCACCACCACCACCCTTCTCAATTGTTTGGTGTCAGACCGCATAAATTTTATGTTTTCATTTCGCTCAATTTAAAATCATATCTTTTATATATTAATAAATTATGCATTCCCAAAGTGCCTTCTCAGCCAATCAAAAATATGGAAAATGACATTTTGACAGTATTTCATACAAAATGACAGTCAAACCAATTTTTTTATTTATCTCAATATATTTGTATTACTTCTATAATCGGGTATCTCAGTAAACTTGTGTTCTCATCATGGTTGAATCACGTGACTAACGTCATCAATCATACTCTAATATGGGCGCAATTTCATGAGGGTACCCCTCATCATTTATGCATAAAATTACTGTAACAAATTTCAATATTCATTCGCATATTTGTGTGTGTGTGTGTGTGTATATATATATATCTAATATAATTTGTTTTGGTAGGAAAAAAACCCATCATTAGGCAAATGTCAGTTTTAAATAATATATAGACAAATTATTTCACGGGACATGATGTTGGTTAAATAATGTACAAGAATGATAGACAAAATTAAGTATAAACATGGCCTGTTTTAATCACCAAACGAGTACTCTAATATTGGTGAGAGATTTATCTAATCAAACCAAACAGACCATATATATATATATATATATTAACTTGAAGAAATCAACTAGTCCTATCTTTTATTACCAAACATACTACTAACTTACAACATTAGAACTTATCTTGTTGTGACTCTCCAACCTTCCACACTTTTAATAATCCAACCATATTGTTTAATTGAAAAGAATTAAATAGGGAGGAAAAGGAATGGATATTTGTTTGTTAGGAGAGAGAGAAGACTGTTGAAGGAATCTGAAGGAAAAGAAGGGAAAGGAAAACAAAGGGTAGCATAAAATATGAATAACCCCCAAACAGTCTTTTCTTTATCCTTCCAAAGAGTAATGATTAATTTTCTACCTATTTTCTATAGCAAGTAAATTCCTATTTAATAATAATATATACCTCAATACTTATTTTTTTAAAAAATAAATTAAAGTTTATTTTATTTATTTATTTATTTATTTTACAATTATTCTATGATATTATTGTTGTAAAAGTTATATTTTAATGTTCAAAATTTGTTAAAGATGTGATCTGAAATATTTAACAAGTGTCGAATATGTGTTAGAAATAAAAATAAATAAATAAATTTTAAAATAATGAAAACTTTTAGAAAAATAATATTTTAAAAATAATTATCAAATTTAATTTATGTGAGTGTGGTTATGACCCTCGTGCCATGTGATGAGACACACCATTCTTCACATTAATTAAATTAGATAACTGCGGAATTTAGTCATTACTTAGAAATTATTAAAATTTGATAGGAACACTATATATATATATATATATATATATATGTATTTGTATGCTTCAATTGTGTAGAAGTATGAGAGTAATAATTAGATAGATTAACAAATTTTCTTCTTCCTTTGACTTGGAACAAGTATGCTACACATGTGTAGTGGAGAGATTCGAGATTCTGGTGGCCCCATATATTTACTCCTACCGGTCCCACCACATGTGCATGTCCACCTTTCAGTTCACTCCATGTTTCAGCTAACCTACCCCCACCCCACCCCACTCCACCCATTGTAAACCAATACTAGGGGTGCACACGTAGTTCTCGGCCGGTTTTCAGAATATACCTGAACCAAACTAGTAAAGATATTAGAACCGAACCAAATCAAATCCTTATAATAATACCATCTACTTGTGGGTCCTTACCATCCATTGTAAAATTACACTAGTTCCTGTATTCGGTGTGGATAAATGGAATAGGGTGAGATTATCATTTTATTGTTTGACTGTAAATATAAATTGTATAAGAATAGAATGATAATAACATATTTTGATTGAATCAATTTAAAATTTAAAATAGAATAAATTTAAAATTGAATTCTCCAAAATATCACTCTTAGTAACAAATAAATTAAATTAACAAAATGACATTTTTATATAATTTTTAAAAAATAAATGGTGGTGGATAGTGGTGGCGATGGTGGTGGAGGTGGAAAGCGATGGTGGTGGATAGTGGTGGCGATGGTGGTGGAGGTGGAAAGCGATAGTGATGTAAGTAGTGGTGTTGGAAAGCGGCGGCGATGGCAATAGTGGAAGGCAGTAGCAGTGGTGTTGGTGGAAGGCGGTGGCAGTAATGTGGTGGTAATGGAAGGCAGTGGAGGTGGTATAAGGCGGTAGCGGTGGTAGTGGAAGGCGATGGCGCTTGTGGTGGTGGTAATGGTGGAAGGCGGTAGCGTTGGTGGTGGCAGTGGTGGAAGCGGTGGTAGATGTGAAAGACAGTGATTGTGGTGGTGGTGAAAGGCGGTGGAGGTGGTGGTGGTGATAGAAGGTGGTAGCGGTGGTGAAAGGCGATGACGGTGGTGGCAGCGGCGGCGGCGGTGAAAAGCGATGACGGTGGCAGCGGCAGCAGTGGTGGTGGTGGTGGTTGAGGTAAAGGAAGACGATGTCAGTGGTGAAAGGTGGTGGACGATGGTGGCGGTGGTGGTTGCGACAAAGGAAGACGGTGACAGTGGTGAAAGACAGTGGCAATGGTAGTGGTGAAAAGCGATGGGCGATGGTGAAAGTCTGTGGCAGTGGTGGTTGTGGAAGGCGGTGGTGGTGGTGGTCGAGGTCGTGGTGAAAGGCGGAGGTGGTTGTAGTAGAAGGTAGTGGTGGTTTTTAGATTTGAAATATGAGGGTTTTTTTGAAAGTTGATTTTTTTAAAAAAATTACTTGGTAATGGAATGGCCAATCAATAAGTTTAGTTATGAAATGAATTTTCATTCCAATAGAATGACATTCCCATTGCATATCAAACAAATAAATGGCTGGAAAAGACATTCCGTTCCGTTCCATTCTTCCACACTAAACGTAATATAGAAGTGCACATAAAAATTTTCGGTCTCGTTTTCAAATAAATCTGGACCAAATTAGTAAAAATAATAGAACCGAATCAATTTGAAACTAACTAAATAATAATAATAATAATTGAACAGATGGGTGGGTTTCATGATTTTAGATAAATAAACGCTCATATGCATACCAATCAAAAATGGAAAATCAAAATTTAAACTATACATTGACGATCATATGTACTGTGATATAGAAGTATAACAAATTATATTTGTTATCAATCAAAAATTGAACAAGTACATTGGATAAGATATATATTGTCTATTTATTATTATTAACGAATTGATTTGAATTGAATTAAATCAAACCAAAATTGAATCATAATCAATAATTTTTTTTTTTTTAAACCGAAATAATTGTATCAAATTAAAATATATTTTATCCATTTATTATAAAACGGATTGGTTATATCAATTATGATTATAAAATATAAAATCATGATTATTATTTAAAAAAATTTTAGAACCCAAATTAAACCCTTCTATAATAGAGCTGAGCTAAACAGCAGGGATGTCAATTTCTTCCGACCCGTCGAATTTTCGCCCCGCCCCGCCCCTAATGTGTTGGATTTGGTAGCCCCCTAAAAGAGTTTGGGATGGGTATGATAAAAAAACCGAAAACCCAAAGCGGATTTGGGACGGAGGGATTTATTATTGAACCCGCCCCGCCCCATCCCGATTATATATGTACCTTTAAAATATTTATAAATATATTTTAAATATTTTTAAGACCTTGTTACTTTATTGAAAATATTAAATATTCACTACTTAGTATATTAAATATTAAATATTTACTACTTAGTAATTTTAAAGTTGGACCAACTTATTTATCAGCCAAATTTGAGTACATTGAGTTAGTTTTATTTTACTAAATAATAAATGTGGCATAAACGAAGTATGTAGAACGAAGTCTGTATTTTGTTTGTCCAAATAGGAGTAGAGATGATATATCAATTGTCCCTTAGAATGGAGTTGCTATGACGAATTTTTTAAAAGACGGAATAGCCAACTCTGCCTAGTTGCCATCCCTATCAAACGGTACAAATTTAGTCCGGTCCAATCCGGTTTAAAGGTTATAACCGTTTTCTTTTCACCCCCTTAAAATAAGTGTTGCTAGCAAACTACTTTATATATTCAGCTGAACCTCCAAAACCCTCCCCCTCTCTATCTCTATCTCAGTCTCTCACACACAGACACACACAAAAACACATGACTCGTTCGATTAGATTTCTCACCGTCGCCAAATCATCATTAAGGTCGACGGCAACGGCGGAGCCTCCAGAAGCAGTCGCCGTCGAATCCGACTTCGTCGTCATCCTCGCCGCACTCCTGTGCGCCTTAATATGCGTGGTCGGCCTCATCGCAGTAGCCCGCTGCGCCTGGCTCCGCCGCGGCGCCGCCGGAAGCGACGGCCCCGCCTCGCGGGCCTCGGCCAACAGGGGCCTCAAGAAGAAGATTCTGCAGTCCCTGCCGAGATTCACCTACGACTCCGCCTCGAACGGCAAGTTCGCCGCCGAGTGCGCGATTTGCCTGACGGAGTACGCCGACGGCGACCAGATCCGAGTGCTGCCGCAGTGCGGCCACGGCTTCCACGTCGGCTGCATCGACACGTGGCTCGGCTCGCACTCTTCGTGCCCTTCCTGTCGTCAGATTCTGGTCGGCGCGAGGTGTCCGAAGTGCGGCGAGTCTCCGGCGATCTCCGGTGCCGGAGCTCAGGCCGATACAGGAATGAGAACCAGAGAAAATGTCCCTTCGGTTGGTTTTTTACCATAATTAGATTAACAAAAGGATAAGTACGAGTTTTTATTTTTATTTTTATTTATTTTTATTTTTGTAGGTATCGAGTCGGTGACCTATTGGACCGTACAAATTCATGTGAAAATTGTGAATTTTGTGCTTGTCTTTTAGTTGCTTAGGGCTCCAAAAGAGTTGGGACTGTTTAGTAATATAAATAGGATGCCATGTGATATGATTTTTGTACATATAATTATATATATATTCTGTGTTTCTATATTGTGAAGGAACATTTCTTTGTTTTTCATTTTATTTTGGGTCAAATTTGTTTGCACTTTAGGAGTGAGTTTCTTTTGGATAAACACGAGGAAAAGGTTTTTGGACAAAGGAAGGATATCAAAAGGTTTAAAAATTAAAAAAAAATAGTGAATGAAAGAAAAGTATAATTTATTGTGTTTAAGAAAAATAGTGAATGAAAGAAAAGGAAATGATATTAAGATTTGGATGTAAATATTTTTTTTATTAGTGTTTGATTGTCATAAAATATTTACGGAGAAAAAAAAAAAAATTTAATAAAAAAAAATTTATGTATTAATTTTTAGAAAGGTATTTTATATGTGTCACTTGATTAATTCATTCTTAACTTATATTTAAATCTTTGTCAGACATCAAAATATATATATATATATATATATATATATATATATATATATATATTACCTAAAGAAAAAAAAAATAATAAAAAATTCCGGAGTAACTCTTTTATTTTAACCAAGGGCAAAGATAAAATGTGTAAACAAAGGATGTGACGCTAGAAAAGCTGGACAGATAGGTACCAAAGGACGTAGTACCTAAGGATACGGCAATAAAACACAGCAAAGATAGGTTAAAAAAAAAACAAGGTAATTTATAGTGACACCTGAGTTTATTAATAATAACATCCCTATCAAAACTTGCATTAAAAAGGATATAAAGAGCCGAGATTGTCCTTCATTATTTTATTTAGTTTTAATAAAAAATATCATAGTTATGAAATGACCGAAATGCCCATTACTCTCTATCTCAAGCCTATACTTCAATCATACACAGGCATATACTTACACACATACGTATATACACACAGACAACCTCCAAACCCTGATCCTTATACAGCCACATTCAATGGCACCCATAGATCCTTACAAGCCACCACAACTCTTACCCTACTTTTACATCGACCCCATGTCTGTTTATGGAATCTGGAGAACGGGTCTGTTTATGGTTGTACGCGCGCATATATATATAAGCCAAACCTTAAACAGGATACGTGAATCCATAAATATGATAATTTTGTAGAGATAGAGGTTAGTTTGGTCCATTAAATTGACTTGTAAAGATTAAAATGATAATTTTGTAATTTTAAAAGATCAATTCATAAGTCAAAGGGTTCCATTGAATGTGTCTATAATAACCCCAAACCTCAAAGGGTGTCATTATAAATTACCCAAAAAAAAGTACAAATATATTTATATACAAAAAAAAAAAAAAAAAAAACTTTTTAATTTTTTTTTTTAATTATACCATACACACATTCTAAGGAATGTAAATTTTGGAAGAATGTTTTTCAATTGTGTAATTTTTATTTTTACAAAATTTTGAGCGGAGTCTCATAATTTTAAAAAAATATCCACAAATTGACCCACCAGGTCCTTGACATATCTGCATTGTTTCCATCTCAAAAACCTTTTAGACGTGAACATTTCCAACCATGTCGGAAACATGGTCGGACATGTTTTCGGTGTATCCGTGTCCATCCGTGTCCGACTCCGCCACAACACCTGTGTGCTTTCTAGCAAACTCCTTCATCCTTTCTTTAAATTTACTCACTTCATTCAACTTTTCTTTACCTTCTATTTTCAAATTAAACATCAAATAAACTCTTTTTCCTTCTCCTTTTTGCTTTTCTTTTCATCTAATTTAGGGCAAATTTCTCAAAACCCCCAAAACTATTAAAAAGTGATCATAAAACCCCAATCAGTTTTAAAAACTCCCAACAATATAGCAACGTTATCATTTTACCCCAACTCTAACAATTGGCCGTTAAGAGTATGTGAAATAACTAAATTACCCTTATTATATTTCCTTTTATTTAAAAAATTAAAAAATTATATTTTTAAAATTACAATATTATCCTTTAGCACAAAACGACCGCGTTTAGTGCCAACATAGTTAGACATCAAAACCCCGTCGTTTCATTCAAAACAGCAGTTGTATTGGACTTAAAACGCTACCGTTTGATTCATTGAACAAGACGTGTGTGTGTGTGTGTGTGTGTGTGTGTGTGTATACATATATATATTGTTACACCGGTATTACGTAATCTTGCCTGCATTGACCCTTTTCACCGACACGATCAGCTGACTATCCATCACTGCCTTGTACGTCGTCCCCCATCATACACCTCCCGACCAGCTCTGCCGAAGTCCTTATCAGCTGCTCCAGAGTATACATCTCTGCTTCGCCGCTACAGAACACCAAATATCCACTCTTTTCACGGTGTTGTTGAACACCCTGAATCTGAATCTAGGTTGTCTTCTCTTTAACTTATGATTCATTCTCTACAACAATTAATGTGTTGTTGCTTTTAGCATCAGTATTTGCATTCTCAGGACTAGACATTGTCGATTTTGACGATGACATTTGGTGTCGTCGCTTTTTTATCAACACGAAGCAACACAGAACAGTTGTGATGAGGATTAGAATTGCGATGACCAAGAGTATAATCACGCCGATTCTCTTGTGCTTCTTCGGCGACGGTGGCGAGATAACCACTCCCTGTGCGTTCTGGAGAAGAGGCGTAGGCGGCGAGGCAGCGGCGCCGGAGGATGAGTTGAAGAACGGGGAAGTACTGGAACCGCATGCTTGATCTCCCCGCAGAGGCTAGGGTTCCATGCAAACGAAGTTGTCATGTTCATCTGTGGAAGCCATGGCCGATCTAAGAAATTACAGGTCTAGTTTCGGCTTTCTCTCTCATTATTTTTGCCTATATACATAATATTGTGTGTGTAACTGTGTTTATATTTCTATGAGCCAACGGGCTAATCTTTGGTGGCTATTAGGTTATGCAATCTATAAGCCAACCACGACCCGTCAATCAACAATTACTGCATTAGTGACCCAATTTGGTTGTGCCTCTAATTTTGCTCTGTTATAGGGGTCTGGTGGTGTCTCTAATATATATGGTCTGGTGAGAAGGATTTAGACCTCATCTTCCAAGCAATTGTAAGGCAGCATATCACAAAAAGTTTTAGGTTCTTTAGAAAATCACCAATTATCACATTCTAGTTCGATGATCGAGAAACAATTAATCAAACAAAATAAATTAGAACTCAAGAATTTAATTGGTTACCAAGAAAATACATGCATAAAAGAGAAGAAGAAAAAATAAAATTTTTAGAACTTAAGTTTCTACTCTGTTTCCATTCAATTTACCGGCAGTGATTGTTCGGAGACGAAGCGGTCAAAGTAGCTCATTGCAAGGTACGGTGTGAACGCATCAAAGTCCGGACACTCGGAATACTATAACAAGTACGAAACATAAATGAATTAATCAGTTTTAGAAATCAACAATGATGTATCAACGATCGATCTTGAGATAAATTAACTAATGCAAGAAGAAAAAGAAAACGATCACGATGATGATTTCAATCGGAGTTGAAGATCATCATCTGCGCTCTTACGTACTTTCTGAATGCAAGCAATGGCGTGTTTACGCGCGGTTGATGTTTCTCGGTCTCGAAGTAACCTTGCTTGATCTTGAATTCCAATTCGACTTCGAAGAGTCTGTCAAATACTGCAACTTCATTTGGCAGAAGCAATGGACGACGTGGATCGTAATCCGCCATTGTCGATCTTTCCTTTTCGTTCTTGTTCTTCATTCAGAGCTTTTTGTGTTACAGAGAAAATGATCAATTGAATCAAAAACTGTATATGCGTATGGTGATCTAGGTCTGCTATATATAGAGGACGGACTTCAATCTCTCTCTACAAATAATTAATTTCTCTCTCTACTTCTTGAGCCAAGTTGATTATCTGTTAGTTAGTGGACTTGTATATCTAAACTTCATGATTGTTGTTCAAAGTGGGTTTATGATAGTTAAGCCTGTCCAGAAGGGTGAGCGGAGATGGCCGTGAGTAGAGAGAGAATGAAAAGCAAGAGAGAGAAGACTAAATTGTGGGTTTTAACTGTAACAAGTTTGGGGGTATTTTCGGAATAACACATATAAATATATTTCACTTGTTTGGTAGATTTTACTCTAGAGGTATTTTGGTCATAAAATTCACTTTGGCAAAACAATTGTTAACCACGCGCTGAGTTAACGGCCCCAATTGACAGAATTGGAGTAAAATGATAACATTGTTATATTGTTGGGGTTTATGATCACTTTTTAATAGTTTTGGGAGTTTTGAGAAATTTGCCCTCTAATAATTTATTCAAGAACAATACTTGATTACTTGTCACTTCACCAGCAAAAAGGAACCTCCTCCACACCACCATGACATTAGTGAATAACGAATTTTAAATGTAAGAGAGGGAAAGTTAAAATATCTATTTATTTTTTATACATATTTTAAATTCAAAATAGACACGTGTCATTGCATAACCAGGAGGGGCAAGTTTCTTTCTTCAATCCAAGTGAGCTCATATATACATATATATTCAAAAAATCTCTTTTCCTTTTTATTAATGCCGAACCGTTCAAACCACCAATCCTTTGTACTTATTGCTGTAAGGTAAACTCCAGGTGTGTAAGGTGGCCTCCAAATCAAGCACACCAATTTCAATCAAGACTCGTGGTTTAGATGTCAGGATCTCTGGTCTTATCCAGGGTGAATAAATTTTTGTTTGTTCAAGGAAAAGTTAGCAGAAAAAGAAAAGCAGATCAATTTGAAAGATTTTTGCTATAAGCTTCAAGATTCTTTACATCTTTATTAATATTAAGAACACGATCAACACTTGATGAAACTCACCTGGATTCACTACGACCCCATCTCATTCAATGAAAAAGTCTCGATTGTCTTTTCCCACCACAAACTTTTTTCTTCCGGATTCATTTAACCAAAACTATTGAGCTTGGGTTGGTGAGTAGGGTTTGGGATCAAAAGGTTTCAATCGAGATAGGCAAAATGTACTGTCATCACTAACTAATTTGACCAAAAAACAGATAAAAAGATGATTATACATGCTAATGCTAAAGCTCAAAAGAGACCTTTACTAGTGTTCTCAGTCTGTCTTATAGGAAACATATCTATTCCCAGCCTCTTTGGTAGTTCTGGTAAAGACCCACTAAAGAACCACATAATCCTCCCAAAATGGTAGGTACTATTAAATATCTCACTCCTGCAATAGACTCACGAAAAGTGTTAAGAGAGATATTTTGGTTATCAACTTTTCATTAATATCATGATTGGGAGGCCAATTCCAACTTCCACTATCTCTAGTATAAAAATATAAAAAGGAAAGCGGAAAGGAAAAAGGAAAGCACGGGAGGAAGAGCCATACAGATTTTTTATTTTTGCTTCCGCTTAGTTTGACCACCTCATGCCAACAAGGGCCAGAATCATTTCCAACCTAATTCGGCCATTACTTTTCCCCTGTATACCCATTGCAACTAAAGACTTGGACTAATCATGATGTAACATCTCCGAAGCCTCCGCTTTCCGATCATCATTTTTAGTTGACCTTAACAGAAAGAAAGGAAGAAAAGAAACTGAAGTACTATTGCTGACTGGTTCTTGCACTAACTTCCAAAAATTAAGGATGTGATTATGGGTCCACACGGTTCTGCTCGGTCTGATTCTGGGATGAATCAAGTTAGAACTGGTCCCAACAGTTCCAAAAATATTATTACTGGAGCCGAACCAGAACCCGTGGATTGGTTCGGTTCTAGGCCAATACCTTACAAAGCCACAACTATGGAGGAAACATGATGTTATTTGGTGTTCACATTTAGCCAAATACCTTGTATCAGAATTATTATGCTCATGATAGTTGGATCAACAGGGGTGTATAGTTCATAAAGTATGATACCCGATCCCATCCTAATTAAATCTGTCCCAGCTTTTTGATCTAGATAGGAAGACATTATATCGTAGTAATAGTCATGGATTTGGTCTCCACTGCCCAGTACCTTAGCTGTGTGTGTAAGACAGAGGGAGAGAGAGATCTGAAGTAGTAGAGATGACACTGGCAGAGATCGATGGTGGCTTAAGCTGATGATGGTGGCCGTGGGTCTATGGTGGCTGAGGCAAGTCAGTGGCAGAGGTCGATGGTGGCTGAAGCCGATGATGGCAGTAGCCGTGGGTCTATGGTGGCCGAGGGAAGTCAGCGGTGGTGGCGGTTGAGGGTTGAGATGGTGGGTGGTGGTGGTGAACTAAGAGAGAGGAGCTGAAGAGGGGTTTGCTGTTTGCGGCTGAGGTAAGATGAAATCATGAGATGATTTGGGACAAGATTCATTTAGGATTATTATATATATATATATATATATATATATATAAAATTTATTTTATTAACGGTCCAGTTCACCGGTTCTACTGATATTTGTGCACCCCTAGATAGGATTGTGTTAACAAAAGATAATGAATTGCCAAACAGCTATTCTAAATGATTTTACAAACAAGCTTATATTCTGCAATCTTAATGCTTCAAGAATTATATATAAAAAACAGAAACCAAATTAGCAATAAGCACTAACTATAAGAGTCCAGAAATAAATATTTTATTTTAAATCTACATATGTAATGGTAAAAAATGCAAGAATGCACGGATATGAGATTTTTGTGAATAGTTGGTCCAGAAGGCCATTGTCGATTGTTGGTCCTGTCCATGGAAGGTGTTGTAAGGAACAAATTGGATTTAGACACTGTTTTTCTATATCATAAAATTAATGGCATTTTCTGTGCTCAACTATCATTGATATAAGGACATCTAGGGCAATCTTGATTTCACTTGTTAAACACTTCAACCTAAGCACATATTTTTTTCATCAAAATGTTTGAGCCTACACATTTAAATAGTTAAATCATCAAATCATAATGACTTTTGAATTTCACAGCTATAAATTTATCAGAAAAACGTAACTAACTTACTCATTGACAAAGTAATACTATCACCTGATATGGCAGCCATTTTCATGGCCAGCTTTGCTGCTATTTCCCTCCTCTGAAAATCAGGCATCTGCCTCAAGCTGTCCCGCATGTTCCCAATCTCCGACATCAGCTGTTCCAAATCCTCAAAGTCGTAATGCATACCCTCATCAGGCTTAGAGGTTCCATCAGGAATATGTACTTTGGGCATTGCTTCCCTGCCAGTCTCTTCTTGCAACTGTGATATTGATGTCAAAGGCTGAAGCTCTCTTTCAACTGATACAAATTCTTTTTGTCCATCACATTCCTTGGTTTCAATATTCTCAGCAACTGAGCCCCTCCTAGTTGTGGTCACAATAGAATCATTTGCAGATACCCATCCTCCATAGGCGTCATTCCATGACTGTGTTGAACCCGTGGATAATATTTCATACTCAATTTCATAGTCCGATTCTTCTTCTGACAACTCAGAGAGGTGAGGATGAAAGCATTCAGCATTTTGATAAAGAAAGTAGGTTTTCCAAAATCAATGAAGGTAGTGCAATGAACCTTGCTTTTTCGGTAAATATCTTGTTGCAGGATTTCAAGACCATTCCAGGCCACACATGAGCAGAAAGAGCCCCATAGAGTCGTTCTACACCTTGTGAATCGCCATCAACTGACAAACCTGTCAAGAAAAGTCTTCTATCTCATACAATAGAACACAATATCTTGTATGAGATAGAAAAGTCTTCTATCTCATACTAGATATTTTGGGAAAATAGGGGCATAGACTACAGAAAACAGTTCACCAACTAGCATGAATTTTGAAACATATAAAACATCGTAAATGGTTTAAAATTTAAAAGAACACTGCAAATGCATAAATTTATACCAGCTGTAAATTTGTGAAGGTGCTGCTTGGACTCAAGCAAGGGATACGAATGTAATATTGGCATGTAGATACAGCAGTGAGTTGTTATGGATAAAATTGTGTGGAAAGTATAACTTGAGTAGGAAGCGGACATATCTTTTTTGGTTGCCGAATACAAATATTGATCTGATGAATCATGAAAATCTGAAACCAGTAAATGAAAAACAATAGCAAAACAAGGATCTTACATCTGTCGAAATCAGCATTAGATGCACAAGCTTCAATGTATTCAATGTTGTGTTCATTGCACCACTCCAACCATGACTTCCTAATCTCCCATGATGGTTCTTCATCTCCCAATAAGCTACTTCCTTCAGTTTCAGAAATTCCATAATCAGATAAGTCTAAATGAGTATTAACAGAGGACTCTTTGATTTTCTGCAGGTGTCGTCTTCTGTACTCAACATGAGCTGCATGTCCTGAAAGAAGATCCACTTTGTTTCCATTACATAACAATATGTCAAACTTCTGCATATCAGTGCGAGAAACCCAATCTTTAATTGCGACAAGAGAAGACAGCTGTGGACAATAACAGATCATGCTGCCACATGAATAATAATGTTGCAGTTCAATGAAGTTTTGAAATTAAAATTGAAACTTCCTCAAATAAAGCTAAAGAGAGGAGCTAGGCTAACATCATTCATGTCGAAAACCATCACTAAGGCAGACAAGCGGTCAAATATTGGCAATTTCTCAATGGTAAACTCATCGTGAAGATGAGCCATCCATACAGAAACATCAGCTGTGTAATACTTGGTATTGATAGTCCACCTGATTAATAAACCATTAATGCACCATAAGTACATATTGGGAAACACTAAAAAGACATTCACATCATTATATCATTTGTTGGATCATAAATTGTTACAAAATCCAGGAAAAGTAATGCTGAATCAACATACTCATAGGAAACCATATCAGATGAGTAATCAGAAGCATCTTCAAAATTCACAGAGAGTAATCCTACATTAAGCAAATGCTAATAATGGTTACCGTGAAAGCCCTGTTAACCTTAAATAGAGTACATGTCCCAGCTAGATTAATTATGTAAAGTAAACACCCCAATGTTAAAGCATAATGCATTAACTGAAGGAAAACAAAAAACTGCTCGCTGTGCTAATCTGGTGACAGCAGTAGCTTGTTTATCTTTTCTTCTTTTACACCCTTAGAATGGCTAGAAGAGCTTGAAGAAGCAAAATAAGATCTAAGGCTCCATTTGCATAAATACATCGATTTCAAATGAATGGGTTTGAGTTTAAATAGAAGACTGTTTATTGAAGTTGGATTATGAAACTCAATAGATATTAGATTGGGAGCATGAGAAACATATTTACTTTCAATCGTTGTGCAATTAAATTCCTTGCTGACATGGATTTCAAATACCCCTTCCACCTTGTTATTTAAAATCCAGAGATACAAGGCTCTCAAATCATCACTAAAATTTAAGCTAAACTACTTACCCTAAATTTACGCTATAATCCTTTGATTTCGGGAGCATATTTTCCCTTCATTTCAAATTCTTCAATCCAAATGGTGCCCAAGTGTGTGCTCTTTTATTTCATTATTTGGAAAGGAAATGCGCTTTTATCTTTTTCTAAGTTAATGACAACATAATTAAAGAGGAAAGATCAACATGGAGGGGGGAAAACTCCATAAGATAAACAAGCTAAAAGACAGAGAGAAGGGGAGCACAAAAAATACAATAAAATAAAAATTCCAACTTAATTGACACCATTAAAGAGGTCAAACAAGGATGTATATGTAGAAGAAGCAGTTGTTGACAACAACAACAAATTGGATAATGCAGGTTGAAGAATTCAAATGTTAATGATGAGATAACCTCCTTCAGTTTGACAAACACTTTAAATTTCAAAAGAAGTTGTTGTAGATTAGGATAGTTATATCTTTGTAACAACATTTAATAAGAATAGATCTCTGTTGTAACTCTCTAAATATTGGAAGAGTTCTCAACCAAAGATAAGGTTGCAGATTCTATACAATACATTTTCTATATGGTATCAGAGCTTTAGTCAGGTTTTTGATTAGCCTGATTGCCTTTCTTTGCCCTTCCCTTGTCCTTTCATCACACCTCTGTTCTTCCAAAACTGCAATGGCAACAACTACTCAATCCAATACCACTTCCAAATATCCATATCCCGCCTCTCTAAATGTGGCGAATTTTGTGTCAATCAAATTAACACATTCCAATTTTTTGATGTGGAAAACCCAAATAATGGGTCTTATTGAATCACAAGATATGCTTGGATTCATGGATGGAAGCATTACCATACCAGAAGCCAATATCTCTAATGAGATCAATCCACAATATCTAGCATGGAAAAAATCCGATTGTCTGCTCCGCGGATGGATTACTGGTACACTATCAGAAGAAGTGCTTACGGCGGTAGTTGGACTTGCCACTGCCGATGAAGTATGGAAGACTCTTCTTGATTGTTTTGCTCAAGACTCTCAAGAACGGGAATTTTGTCTACAACAACTTCGCATGCACCGTAAAGGTACCCCAACTATGAATGATTATATTCGAATCTTTAAAGGGATTTGTGATGATCTTGCAGCAATCGTCAAGCCCGTAAATGACTATGTTAAAACCACCAACACCATCTTACAAAGAAATTGTGCCATTGCTTCAAAGTCATGAGACCATCAAAAATCTTCATGCCAGCGAAGGTTATGGAATCACCAATCACAATGTTGCCTTTCTTGGTCAGCGCTATGGAGGAAATAAATCCTTTCAAAGAAAGGATCAACAGCAAGGATCCTTCGCATTAAGAGGGCGTGGCTTTGCTCAAACCAGTTTCACACCAAATAGGAATGAAGGTTCTATTACTCAATATTGCTACAAAAATGAGAAGTCAGATCACTCAAAGCCGCAACAAAAACGTCCCGAAAAGGAAAAAGGAGCTGTTTGCCAAATCTGTCATAAGCCTAATCATACCGTGTAAGCTGAAAAAGGCATTGTATGGTCTTCGTCAATCACCACAAGCGTGGTTTGATCGGATTAGTACTTTTCTTCTTGGAATGGGATTCTTTTGCAGTATTGCTGATTCCTCTCTCTTCATTTGTCATAGTAACCAAGGTACTTTGCTCTTACTGTTATACGTTGATGATATTATTCTTACGGGCAATAATTCCGATTTCTTGAATTGGTTCATTCAACAACTCCATACGGAGTTCTCTATGAAAGATCTTGGCTACCTCCATTATTTTCTTGGAGTTGAGGTACAAAAGTTTCAAGGTGGATTGTTCCTAAGTCAAGCCAAATACGCATATGATTTGTTAGACCGAGCACAAATGAAAGATTGCAAGCATATATCTCCTCCTATGGTGGCTAAACTACAAGCAGCATCCCAAAATGATCCTTATCCTGATCCTCAAGTCTATCGTAGCATTGTGGGTAGTCTACAGTATCTTAAATTTACTAGACCCGACATATGCTATAGTGTTAACTATGCCTGCCAATACATGCAAAACCCAACAAATTTTCATTTCCAACTTGTTAAACGGATATTGCGGTATATTCATGGTACTATCAATCATGGTTTGCGATTGTTATCTAACAATCCTATGGTCTTATATGGGTTCTCTGATGCGGATTGGGCTGGATGCCCCACCACTCGACGATCCACTACCGGTTATTGGTAGCAATTGTATCTCTTGGAATGCCAAAAAGCAACCCACTGTGACCCGGTCTAGTGCTGAAGCAGAGTATCGTGCTCTTGCATCCACTGCGGCTGAATTGACTTGGATTACATTCATCTTGCGGGACATTGGTGTCTATCTACATGAAGCGCCGATGTTGTTTTGTGACAATATTTTTGCCCTTCACATGACAATCAATCCCGTCTTCCATGCCCGAACGAAGCACGTTGAAATCGACTATCATTTTGTTCGAGAAAAGGTAGCGCTTGGACTGTTAACCACTCGTTTTATCCCTTCTTCCAATCAAATTGCCAATATATTCACAAAACCATTATTGCGGCGTTCTTTTCATGCCTTGCGTACCAAACTTGGCCTTTGGCATTCTCCTCAGCCTAGTTTGAGGGGGACTGTAGAAGAAGCAGTTGTTGACAACAACAACAAATTGGATAATGCAGGTTGAAGAATTCAAATGTTAATGATGAGATAACTTCCTTCAGTTTGACAAACACTTTCAAAAGAAGTTGTTGTAGATTAGGATAGTTATATCTTTGTAACAACATTTGATAAGATTAGATCTCTGTTGTAACTCTATAAATATTGGAAGAGTTCTCAACCAAAGATAAGGTTGCAGATTCTATACAATACATTTTCTGTAGTATAATCATCACAGAAACAAAAAGAATTCATATGTGATCAGTATTGAGCCTCAGTGGCAAATTACAAGATGTCTACGTATCCAATGTGATCATATTCTCATGGATAATATAACCCATATGAATCTAAAGAGTATCAAACATATACATATGTAGAAAGGATATGATAGCATGTGGTTTGAGTGAGGCTATGACTTTAGATATAGCGGAATGGAAGCATAGGATTCGTGTAGCCAACCCCAAGTAGTTGGGAAAAGGCTTTGTTGGTTTTTGTTGTATATGTGTATACATGTATGTGCATATGTAGTGGACTAAATGAAATGATAAGCAGAAAACTGCATGGAGAGAGCACGACTTACTGGAGAGGAGGGTACCTTTACCGACTTTAGATGATCTGATCATGAGGATTGCCGGTCTCTGCTCCAGCAAATCTCTATCAACAATGCCTTGATGATGCATATTATTACTCTTCACTTTGCTACCAGAGCTCTTCAAAACTGAATTTCCTGAACCCTAACATATGAATAATAATACATCAGCTAAAAATTCAAAAAAGCTTGATAGAGCATAAATTTACAAAGATCTTTGAACAACTTGCCAAATCAGAACTGATAGTACTGCTAGAATGCAATACACACACAAAAAAGGTAATCACTCAAAAGAAATATAAAAATGTAAAGTTCCAAAAATCTTATAATAATTTGACTCTAACTTTATTTTCGCCATTTTTATGGAAGCTTTGTTCTTTTTTACGTTAAACAGTTTGGTTGTAAAAAAAATTCATGAAAAACCTTTTACATGTAAAACCATTTCTTCCTCTTATTTTCTGGTTATTTTAACTAAATTTTAAAGCATTTTTCAGAATAAATTGATGAGGAGTCTCTCTCATTTCTCTCACCTCCAGTTATAAACTACCATATCTCTCTCTACCTCGATCCCTAAAACCCTATAAACCAAAAACAACAACCAATTGAGGCTAGTTTAACATACTTCAACATTGAAAACCCCAAATGCATATAAAATTCATGAATCTAATCAAACCTCAAAACTTAAGCTTCACAACAGATGATCACAAAGAACAAATAATTCCATAAAAATCACCTGCGAAGAGAAGATAGCCGGCGTCGAGAAAGGAATCGGAAATTTTTTTATCGGCGTCGGGCGATAATCGCCGGCGACAAGAGATCGTAACGAAGTGAAATGTCAGGCGCTCTCTCCAGCGAAAGCTTTGCTGGTATTATGTCACTGCTCGTTAAAAAGAAAAACAAAAAGAAAAAAGATAAAAAAAAATACTTGAAAAACATTTTGCCAAATTTAAAAAGATAACTAGACACAGAATTCTTCTGTATTAGCATTTAAAAAAAAAAAAAAACTAATTGTGTTGTTATCAGTTAATTACTTAAAATTTAAAAAATTCAGTAGTTTCTATTTTAAGTGTGATTTTTGCTGTTGGTAAGAACTACTTTATTTCTGAATATTACTATTGAATAAATTAATTCAAAAACTAGAATTGAATGTATTATAAGTGATTTCTCAATTAAACGTGTTTAAGAATATTATATGAGTGTCACTTGAAATTTTCAAAATGATAATAGGTGAATAGAACTTATTGGGAATACGTTTAGTGAGAATATGTTTAAATTTATTATTAAATTGCACAAATTTATTAAATTTCAGCACCTCAAATTTAGTTCCTAATTTTTTAGTTTGATCAAACAGCTTGTATTTTAAAATTTTAATATAATTTCACTAATTAATCCTTAAACTTTTACTTCTGAATATTTATAAATAGATTTTCCAGGATTATTTTCAATAATTAAAAAGTTATACTATTAAACAATGCGTAAATGAGCGTGCAAAAATAATTCAGGCATATTTGTATTTCTCTTTGTGGCAAAAAACGACTAGAGCACTTTTTATTTTATTTGCGTGGTTTGCTCGTACTAATTCATCTCATTATTTTGTATTGAAATTTCAGCAGTTAAGATAAGATTCATTAATTCAGTTTCCGAACATGTGTATCCGTTTGTATTTAAGTTCCCTCTTCCTAATTTATCACTTTTTTATTTTTATTATTTATTTATTTATTTTAAATAACAGAGAAACACGTACGAGCATCATCTCTCACTTCTTTTGTATGAAGGCAAGAATGATAATTTATTTTTTGTTCATAATTAAAAGTAAGATTTTTGAAGTATATTTTTATGGTTTTCTTGAACTGACATGACAAATATTAGAAACAAATTATGTGTAGACTTTATAAACAACATACATGATCGTTTGGCATTATTATTCATATAATTGTAGATATTGAAATTTTGAGATTGTTTCGTCACCGTTATATTAGTCAAGAAGTCAAATATTCCTTAATTAATTAAATTCAACAAATATGGGTCTCGTTAATAGATACGTGTCAAAATCTTAAAGTTCAAACCTTTAAAGAAAAGTGCGATTAAATTCAAATTAATTTAAATTTGAATTCGAATTTATTTCTAATAAAAGATAACAAATCTTTTATTTTTGGAAAATTTACACAATCATTGGGGAGTCTTCAAATCAAACACCCTACTCTTGGCCTATAAATACAAGGCCACCCTACACACAGAGACAGAAAATACAGACAGATACGCAGACACAGAAAGACGGAGAAAGAAGAAGAGAAGACCAAAGCCCTGTTGAATCTCTGCCTCAACCAACACTCCGACGCCACACAGGTGCCGTTCTTCATTGAAGCACTTCAACATGTGAAGATTTTGAAGACGAAGAACAACAAAGCATGCCATGCAAGTGCCGTTCTTCATTGAAGCCATTCAAAGATTCAGAAGAAGAACAAACACGCAAGTGTCGTTCTCCTTCGAAGACCTTCAAATCCACCGTTTGAGATCAAGCTTCATCGGCCCTCAATCGGAAATCCAATCAAGCCTTCTTTAATCTTGAAGATTCGAAGAACATTCAACCACTGGTTCAAGATCAAGCTTCTGAAGCCCTTACATCAACTCTCCAAGGAGATTTAATCAGAGGAAGATTCTATGTTGTAATAGAATCCACCATAGAGGATTGTACCCGAATTTTACAAAATTAATAAAATTGATATTTGCTCCATATTTTGTTCTTTATTTTACAGATACAAAAATTGTGTGTACAATAATATGACAGCCACTAAATTTGAATTTGAATTTGAATTTTTTATTTTTATTGACAAGACTCGTGCTTTTATTTGTTCTTGCGGGTTTTAAACCCTACCTTCTTACGTTTTTATTTGTTCTTGCGGATCTTAAATCCTCACCTTTTACATTACTAGACAGCACTCTCAAGCAATTTGCAAATCACAATACGACCCCATCTATAGCAGCTTGGACCTCACAAGTATGATTTAAATCCAATGATTTTTTTTGGAAAAAAATAAAAAGAAAGATAAGGAATTAAACAGTTAAAGAGCCCTTCAGCATCATCAAATAGTGTGCTGTGTGCCCCAACAAAATGTGTGAATGTTGACCAAACCATAGAGCTAAGCAATCTTGAAGCAACATGGAAAATTTTCTTGTTTGTGTTTGGTATGCATTAGCTTCTTGTGTGAAACCCTTAAAAAAATAAAAAATAAAAAATATAAAAATAAAAAGATGGGAGGTAAAAAAAAAAAAAATCACATAGACGTGGGTCTAAGATCGATTCCTCCTAGGTGTAAATAATTCCCGCAACATAATCCGAACTTTACTTGATGTAACGACCCGAACCAGTGGGTCCGAATAGTTAACCGGGTCCTTATCCGAACCCGAGGTCAACTAAGTCATATAATCATTTCCTGTGTCCATAACTGTCAGACGAGTCAATCCATTATCCAAAATGCTTTAAGACACAACTTATAAAGAGGGTCAAATGTGCAAGTCAGTGAGGAAGGGTCGGCCAACTGATAGCCCTTGGTTGGTCGGCTGACAGGGCTTGCTCGTTCGGCTGGCCTACCCGATCGGTCGGTCTAACAGGGTATGCTCGTTCGGATGGCCTACCCGGTCGGTCGGTCTGATAGGGTATGATCGTTCAGATGGCATACCCATTGGTCTAACAGGGTATGCTCGTTCGGATGGCCTACCCGGTCGGTCGTTCTGACTTATGTGGTCGGTCGTTCTGACACGGCATGACCGGATAGCTTTGTCGGTCGGCTGATTCTCCTTGTTAGTTGGCCGACAAGCCCTGAATAGCTGCTATATGCAGCCTAATAGTCCGAAAACCTGGGCTCTTAGTGAGCCAAACCTGATAATCACTTAGTTTCGGATTCACAACAACAATGTATGATAATATAGAGTTAAAAACATCCATAATCAATCACAGAATATGCTAACAATTTCCATTCATTACCAAGATGCCAACATAGTTCTACTTTTACATTAAACCACAGTCAATTATCATAATTGAATTACATAGCTATGCTTTACAACTGATACAATCTGGAAATTTAGGCTTTACAAAAGAATGGTTCATATACACAAAAGGTAGCAAAAAAAAAACTTCAAGTCCTCAAACTAGACTTGTGGTGGACCGTCATCTGCCACTTTTTTCCCAAGCCCTGAAAAATGTTAAATAATAACGGGGTAAGCCTAAGCTCAGTAAATGGTGCCTAAGACACATCTCTTGAAACCCAATAAATCCAACAATGAATGGAAAATATAGAAGCGGGGTCGTGCCATACCGAGTAAACGAAGCACAAAATCAACATTCCAAGTCGTAATTAAATTAAGCCGTGCAATGAAATGCAATGTCATGAAGTGTCTCTCTCCCTAATTTCCCAAACAATTCCGTTTCACCAATCCAAACCGTCAATGCAACTCGATCCATAGCACCTCTATGGCGTCACGAGGAGAAAGTTGGCTAGAAATCCCCAACCACATGGTATCTCCATGGCGTCGTCTAGGCCTAGATAGCTCAATTTCCCTCTAGATTACATTAACACCACGGACCACTAGGCAGTTCCCAGGCGTCCGGGTTTTCGCAAACCTTTTTCCCAAAAACCATTTACTTTTCATTTAAATCAAAATTTTCCCATTCATGCCCAATGATATGCATAAATGTCTCATGCTTTCCACTGCTATGTCAATAAGGAACTTTACAACTCACAAAATTAACTTGTTTCCATACAACAAATTTCAACAATTTGTATATAATTAACATGAAAATTTTCACATAAGCATGCTTTCTCACATAAATCATCTATTTCACATAAGCATATAATTTCATATACAACACATAATTCATTTTAAGGAAAAATCAACACAATGTAACATGTTAAATCATAAATCATGGAGAAATAAACTCATTTAAGGCTTAAGAAGTCATGAATTAGGAACCCCTACCTCAATTTGAAGAAAAACCTCAAATTTATATTCCAAGCCCTAGAAATTCGAAATTTCAAAGTGCACCAAACAAAGATTTGCTCCGATCAAAACGTAGATCTCGACTTACTCTTTAATTTGCCGCAAACGGCACTCAAAAACTCCAAAAATTGAGGGAGAACTTCTAGGATTTAAGTTCACTTGGAAAGAAAAAGAAAAAAAAAATGAGATGAGAATTGGGGGAGAGAGTGTGAGAATGAGATCAAAATGGTCTCTAGGCCACTCAAATGGTTGAGGTGGGTCCCATCACTTTTTCTTTAAATTTTTTTTTTTAATTTCTTTTCTTTTTACATCACACAAAAACATATATACACAAACTATGTAAAACCCACATAAAATACATTAAGTAAAATACATGAGATGCAATTAGACCCAACTGAAATTCCCGTACACAACAATTCGGGTAGCAGGTTCCACACGGGACTTTCTGGCCCGAAAAATGGAAAAATGCAAAACACTTGAAGGAAGCGCTTTGCGCATGTTCCGTCGATAGTCAGGATACCCCGTTATTCAAAAAAAAAAAAAACCCTCACTTGGACCACAACAACAGCATGAGATCAGATGATTCATTTAGCCAACAATGCAAAATAACAGAAGTGTCTATGCACTCTTCATGTCTCAAGTTCTGTTAAGAACAATGGTGTTGAATCACCTGCAAGTACCCAATGGATTTCCAAAATTTTGCAGAACTTTACAAATCAGATGACCATTGAATGTACTCAGAAAAAATGTTCACCAAATTAATGCATGGACAAAATTTGAGAATTCGATAATATAGGTACACTAAGCATTGATAAACGCCAGAGAGAATCCGCGCCCACCTTCAAACATCCCTGGGAAGACAGTAGTGGAGGGAAAAGAATACCAAAAATCAAATTGCACAGAAAGAAAATTAAAGATTCAAGATTAAGCTAGTGCTCCACCGGTCCAAATCTCGTTAATATGATGTTTTTTTTTTTCTTCAGATTTCGCCAATCACTTCAGTATTATGAACAAGCAACCTTCAATCTGATCAGTGTTTGTTAAACGTCGTAATCAGCTTGCGTTCCAGGAGAAACAAAATCCAGCCAAAACTTTAAACCTAAGCTTTGGCAACTGCAGCAGTGTCAGCAGTTTGCTTTGCGCCAACGGCGAAGAATTCTGTGATGACTTCAAGGGGCATTTCCTTTGTTTCGGGAACCTTTAAGTAAACAAAGAACCACGAGATGGTGCACACAACAGCATAGATGCCAAAGACACCAGCTAGGCCAATTGAATTGAGCATAACAGGGAGTGAGTAAGTGACAATGATGTCCCCAATCCAAAATGTAAGAGCACATATGGCAATGCAGAGGCCTCGAACACGGGTAGGAAAGATCTCCGAGCAGAGGATATTCGGGATTGGCCCAAAGCCCATGACAAAGAAGCAGAAGTAGAGCACAACACTGATGGTTGATATCACGGCATGGACGATGGAGCTCATGTTTACAATGTTGCCAACAACTAGTACGATTAATGACAATATCAAGACAGGTAGTGTAGTTAGCAGCAGCGACCTGGAGAAGATTAGATGGTTAAGACACAAATGGGATTCCCCCTAAAAAAGAAAAGGATGAACTTAAGGAAGTTAAGCAGCTTCAATGATTTGAAATCTGTTCTCTATTTTATAGAACAGTTACTCACCATCCTTATTCGATAATATTGGAGATGTCATAGCCACATAGTCAAGATATAACTACAAGTCACAGTAAAAATTTCATGAAGAATACATTATTCCATCTTACTGACTTTAACCATAATTAGATTCTCCCAATATTTTTACTTACCTGCAAATTTAATTTCAACATTTGTTTTTACATGAAAAAGTAAGGAAAAGAAAGAGGCATGTAGAGGGGGAAAAAAAAAAAGCATCACATGGCATTTCGAGTTGCTGACAGTGCCGAGAGATAAGTAGGAAGTAGAGCATGAGAATAGAATAGGGTAAAGAAAGCCAACGTGTGTACGAGGTGAGGTGGTGGAATATTGAGGTTCTCTAAGAAGCCCAACACCACCATTATCAACCGAAAAAACAACCAATGTTTTAATAAAAATGCACTATGCGAAGACGATTTGCGACCCACGTTTTAGTTGTTAAAGAAACTTCCAAAACAAGAACAAATAATTTCTTTAAAATGTTCAAGCTTCCTCAACAAAATAGAAAATTACCTTCTGCCTGCAATATCCATCAATTTCATAGCAATACCTATGCTCGGAAGCATCAACAAGGTTGTTATAGCACTTATAAGGAGAGATGCAGAGTCTGAACCAATGCCTATATTTGACAGAAGAATTCCTACACCTGCTTGTTCAAGAATCTGAGGAGTATAGTAGAGAACCCCGTTTATGCCAGAAAACTGCACATAAATAAAATTATCCATGAGAAGCATGCAATACTATAAATACATAGATAGATGGAAAACAAATCATGACAAGGTTGGCCAAACTTACGATTGCTCATTGTGAATAATCATATACAAGCAAATCATGTTTAATAGCTTAAAGTGTTGCAACTAGAATGGCTTAGGAAAGCTTAAGGTAAGATCATCCTTAAGAGTTGAATGACGTCACTAGTTTGGGCTCAATTCAAATGCGTTTTAAATCATATTTGTCTGTCTAGTTGGGATTTTTCCATGAAATGCTGTCCAATGTCGGAATTGGTCAGTGCAAAGATGATCACTGTTGATGGGAGTTCAGATAACATAACATCATTGGAGATGGCGGAATGGTTGGGGTTGAAGCCCTATTTAAGTAAGGGCTTCGAGCCCTAATTTCACAATGTCCATTCACCAAACATTCTATAGATCATGCTTTACAGATAGATATTCATACAGGGGATTATAAGCCACTTCTAAGATAAGAAAGAGAAACCTAAAAAAAGGAACCATTATAAATATATGTTACAACAAATCAGTTGACTTAAAAAAATCATATATAAGTGGCAAATTAATGGAAGGGCTTCCTACCATTACTAGTTCTGTTATTAGGTTAGGCTTAGTTTCCGAAGGCCACAACAAATGCCCAATCCCACCTTTAGGGATAATTATCAGGTTGTATGGCAAATCCTTTTGAAAATAAGCACTAAAAAATGTTGATCTTGTGCTAAATCAGATCGTCGAAATGATAGGAACTACTAAGTTGAGGCAGAGCATATACTTCAAACATCAGCATTTTAATAGAAAGGATGATTTCGAATAGCAAAGAGATTGTGATTTTTGAACAAGAGTTTATACTTAACTAGACGCATAACATACTGCCAGTGTGTGTAAGGGACTCACATCAGTGAGTTCACAGAGAACTTAAGATCAAGTATCCGGTTACCCAAATATTTAAATCTATTTGGAACTCGACGAAATTTCTAGTTAATATCCCTTGCATGGTAGTTCACAAACTGCATGTGATTATCATGGAAAAGAATTATAGAACATTTTGTTCACAGGTTCTAAGGATGCCCAGTTTTCATTGAAATTAAAAGGAAATTCAAATTTCAGTATGAGAAAAATGCCTATCCATGACACAAGTAATATCTACAACAGCTCAGCTGGAAAACTCAGCATCATATTCAAATCTTAATTTAACCAATCTTATAATGACCTTCAATGGAACGTTATCATACCTGCTGAAGTATTTGAATACCAATTCCAACAATCAATGCATGCTTGACCCCTGGTTCAAAAAGGTCACCCCAACTTGACCCTTTAGCAGAAGCTTCAGATGGCTGAACCATTGCCTCTCCAAAAGGATTCTGACCAACATCTTTGGAATGAATGGCAGACTGGCTCACCAGAGCAGAAGCATGAATTAATTCACCTTCTGCATGGAAATCACCTCCAGGAATTGCAACAAGTGACCCACGACGAGATGCAGGCACATTTTCCTGGTGCAAAAATATTCTTTGAAGTCCTTCCCTTTTTCCATCTTCACCTTTCCTCTCAGACCATTTATATGCCAGCTGCCAACCACCACCAATTCCCATACCACTGATCGGTTCATTGTTGGATGCAAAATGGCCCATGTCCCTATCCATACTTGTGGCCTGACGGGAGAGCAATGGACTCCTTAAATTGTCATCAGATTCAGCCCCAGAAGCATCATGTGCATGGTGCTCACCATCCCTCTGGAGGTTTTCCTCATCCCACTGTTCATTTTTACTATGTTGGTCTAGCATACTGAACATGCTGCCAAAGTTGGGAAAAAGCATGCTTCGCCTGCTTCCCATCTCTGGCATCTTCTCATGAACACTGCCAAAAAGAGTGACCATAGGATCCATAAGAGACATGCTCTGGTTTGCCATGCTCCCGTAGCGGGACACCAGACCAAGAGTACTCCCGCCAGTGACAGGTTTTGCAATCCATGAGTGGCCCTCTTCAGCACCATATAACCTGATTTGATCTTTATCTTCTTCATGTTCCTGGTCATTGGTGAGCTCATCAACAGGGCCGATTATGTACTCTTCTATAGATGTTTTACCTCCAACACCAAGACCTTCGACCAGCAAAGCCATTTCACCTGTGGATCAGAATGAGCGTCAAGAATTAAAATCGGAATCTCAATTATATGAAGGATACTGAAGAATCCATAAACAATGCCAAATTTCAATAGCAAATAAGTTATAACACTAGAGTTTCTGATGTGTTTTGTCTTTCACCATAAAAGTATAATAGTAGAACAAGTGGGATATCTCCTATAAAAAATTCTCTTTGCTAACTACTAGTCATGAAATGAATGGACTTAGATTTCTCCAACAAAGTAAGGAAAAAATTCTTTTTCTTTTTTCCTGTGTCACTGAAAGGAAATTCTTAAATGGAACTATGCATTAAACATTATTCACATTTCTCAAGAAATGCGTATATCTTGTATAAAAAATGCATAGAGTGGTTACTCTAAATAATTAAGAATAAAGCATCTCCTGATATTTTTGTTGAACAAAAAGAGTGTCAGGCTATTAGAATTTGTTTGCCCGAATGTGCTCATAAATTAGGAACTAGTTTGCACTTCAACTGCAATGTCTGTAGCAAGAGGACTGCCACAACTAATTGGAGAGAGGGGAGGCAATGGGGTCAAAGAAGAAGAACGAATAGTGACGTGATTCGTCTAAGTTGAGAAATTACTTGCTAATACTTGGTCTTACTACTAGAGATGATCACATAAAATCTTGTTGCTTGGCAACTACAAAGGAAACTTGAGTCCTCACTTAAGTTTCACGATATCTCAACACTGAAATACAATTAGCATATGTCTAAAAGATATAAAACTAACTACTAAGGAAAATTGCGTCCTCACTTAAGTTTCACGAAATCTCAACACTGAAATACAATTAGCCTATGTCTAAAAGATATAAAACTAACGTGTGTAAGTGTGTGCGTGTACTTGCCTGTTTGTATTGTACGCATGTATCTATGCATATATCTACTGTATGATTAAAATGCATGTATGAGTATGTGTTTGGTCCAGGCATTCTTTACTTTATAGGATTTTTACTAAGGAGGGAACGCCAGAAACATGACTTTTACTTCTACCTTGATGAGTATTAGTACTTAAATCTTTTAATTATATAGCATTGAACTTTCAATTGAAAGAAATATGATTACCAGATAAAGCACATATTGAAGACCAAAATAAAGTACCCACCTTTCATCATAGAATGTGTGTCCACATCCTAGGAAAGGAAGTCCCCAAACAAGCAAATTCCCAAAGCTAAGGCCCCTTTAGATAGGATTAATGTAGCGAATAAATTCAAATCGTGTACTAACTAGCATCGATAAATATTTCAAAGAATATTAATAGGTGCCATATTATATGATCACAAAGCCAACATATACTACCAATTCGATGCATGAGTGTTACATATGTCCAGAGAGTAGGACATTGAAAAATCTGAGATCAGATTCTTGGTATGTAGCTGCTTTTGTGTCTTTATTGAACAAACTAGAAATATTTTCCCTTTCTGTAAGTGATAAGATCACAGAGATGACTGAAAGCACCCAATACAGATATATCAATTTTCATTGTGAAGGAGAGAACAACTGAAATATGAACTTTGCCACCTCATGTCCCAAGACAAATAGAGAATTCCAGCATTTAGAGATGAAGCTCATATGAAATGGCCATGAAACACTTGAGAAGCTTTTTTGGGAGTTAAATAAATTAAAGTTTATATTAGCGTATAAGAAACTAGTAAAAGAGACTGAAAAATGCATTCGGCCATCTAGGAAGCTTTTAACAACTAATTTAAAATGTGAACAAAAACTAGCCAGACAATGCAAAGATACTATATACTGTAGCAGAGAAAGAATTCATATTCTTTGCATAGAAACAGCACCAACTGACGAACCTGAGACGTCGTCCCTGCCGCGTAGTCTCTGTAATACCTTTTTAGCCTCTAGCATCCGCCCTTTACTCACTAACCACCTAGGAGACTCAGGCAGGAATAGTATTGTCAATGCAAAAAAAACAAGAGAAGGAATAGAAAGAACCCCAAGCATCAACCTCCAACTCGGAGATTCCGTCAATGACATTCCAAAGACCATGCAGTATGACAGAAACATTCCAATAGAACCAGTGAATTGTGGAAGGGTATTTAACAAGCCCCTTATTTCTGCCGGGGCTGTTTCAGATATATAGACAGGAACAAGAGTAACCGCGAGACCAATTCCAAATCCATCCAAGAGCCTTGCCAGAAGCAGTACATAAACATTGGGAGACCATAACATTACCAAGCCACTCAGAAAATAAAGAATAGATGATATTATCAGCATTGGTCGCCGTCCAAGATTATCTGATACAGGTCCAGAGAATGTTGTGATTACTGTGGCCCCGATAAGTGACATGGCTACAATTAGACCTTCTATAGTTGGTTGACTCTGTAGATTAAATTCCCTCTTGATATACAGAACAGCCCCTGCAATAGATCCAATTTATTTCTTTTTAACAACAAAATATTTGTTCCTGGCACAATATGAATCTGTACATATAGTGAACACTAAACAGTGATAAAAAATAAATTTTTTTTTTTTTAGGTGTAAACAGAAAGAGTATCTGCTGTGAAGATAAGAAGTGTCTTGCTAAATATATATATATATATTGAAAATGATATTACTAAAGCACAAAGTGACCATATGGGATTTGTATTCATAAGACGAGCTTGTATTCAACAGGATTTTCCATAAAATGCATCAATCACAAATGAGCTAAAAAGCATAAAAATCACAAAACATTACCTGCAATTGTTGCATTATCCCATCCTTGCAACAAGTTGCCAATTGCTGCAGCAATTGCTACTAGCACAGCTCCGTTCATCCTTCCGAAATAAATGGAACACTTCAATCCAAAAGAGTAAAATCACTGACTGAACTTCTAAACCTTTTCTCAATTAGCCCTTTTATTGTGTCAAAACAAACAAAAATACAATAAAATAATGCAATTCTTTCCCAATTCAAGTAGTTGAACCTACAGCCACAAAATATGTCTTTTTTTAAATAAAAGAATCCCCACCCACCCACTTGCCACTTTGGACTCTTGGATGATGCCCAAACTCTGGATGCACGCAATCACATTGTCTACGTCTAAGATGCAAGGAGAGTAATCCCAAAGACCTTACCAGTCGAGCTAGCGCATACAATACAGGATCTTATATTCACAACCACAATGAGATCAATGCCAATTCAATGTAGATGCTCTAAAAGAAAGTGATTGAATTTTGAATAAAGTAACTGTGCAACCCATCGAAGGCAATACATGTATGCGTGTATCACTCATGTGTATATATATGATATAAACGTACATTACCCAATGCTCCCAATCTGATCAGGCCATACAACAGGATCAAAATTGGACATATATATACATATACATATACGTATATTGAGTAACATTTGGAAAACAGGAAGAACATATAAGCACAAAATGCAGTTCAGGAACCAATCCGAACACACACATTACACGTATATCTATATATGGAAAACGCAATACACATATATCTATATATAAATAGGGAGAGAGAGAGAGAGGTACCTCGGAGAAACAGAGAGAACCAAGCAGATGGCAAGCGATTCAAGAACAGTGATTGCAAAAAATGTTAAAATCTCATGGTCCCTGCAACATCTTATATGAAAAACGATAATGCAAGATGGCTAGCTCTATTGGCTCTTGAATTTGTGCAGTTTTGATGGAAAATTCTGCAAAATATCACGAAATCAATCGAACAGTGTTTTAGGACAATAGATTGCCAAACTGTGAACTACAGATCTGTATAAAACAAGTAAAAAAAAAGGGTTCAAAGTTGTTTTTATTATCTTGATGAAGAAAATGGCAAGAGAATGAATAGTATCTCTCTTCGCTACATGTCAAAATCACATAGAGAGAGAAAAGGAGAGCATTACCAGTTCAAAATTGAATTTGGTACGATACCACCGAAGAACGTGCTTCGCTGATCTGTTTTTCATAGACTTACATATATATTATATACATTTTATAGTTATGCCCCCATAATATACTTGCATTGATTCTTGCATATTTCATGTTGTTAGACCTCGTGTCACACCCGCCCCCATTGTGTAAATACTGTTTATTCTTCGTATCAAAATAAATGTCTTTTATTTTTTAAATTTAATTTTTTAAAAGATACGTGAGATTTTAATGTCATCTATTTTAATACATATTTCATTTATGCATATGTGTTTGAATTGTCAATTGAAAGAATAGGAAAGAATGAATAATTACACTAAATTTCTCTTTCTATCTCTAATGTATTTTTCTCTACTAATATTTTTTATTATATAAATAAGAGTGTGTGTGTATATATATTATGCACTCTCTTTATTTTTCAACTATTCTATGTCTTTGTTAAGTATTTCTTTAAAATGTAACTGTAATAAGAAAAAAATATTAAATCAAAATACAATTCTAAATTTTTTAAGTGAATTATGTAAATTAGGTTTCATAAAATTGTAACTTTTAATTTTAATATTTGAAAATTTAGAAGAAAGAGTGTCCCAAACCAAGACAGTAATTCAAGTTATTTTGTTATATTAGGGTTTGGATTCTATAATCATAAGTTGGTTATTATTATTATTATTTTGTGTCTTTCCTATATTAAGAAAATTGCTTTTAAAATACACAAAACAATTAAATAAGCTTACAAATGGTAGCCACCTAATTCAAAATAAAATCACTCGAAATTAGTGAAGTATAGCATTTTTTTTTATATTAATAATTAATTTATTATTAAATCTATCTGTAATGAGTTCAAAGGAATGTGATCGTTTAATAAAAGTTCAATGCATGAAAGTTAATTTGGTAATATTTAAAAAAATTAATACTTTGACTTTTTAAATGTGGCATTTAACTCTTTCACGATCAAAAAAAAAAAAAAAAAATAGAAGACAACAAAAAAGATGAATATTTATTTTTGATCTTGTTCTATTATATGTTAAGTGTAATTATGACAATTATGACGTTCCACGTTGTTGGGATACTCTCCAGTTATGTAGACACTTCCGGGATTTACATAACAGGTTGTGACATAATGATAATAATAAAATAAGTTACTTATAAGAAATTTCGAAAATAATAGGAGTAAATGAAATGGAAACAAAGAAAAATTGTAATAAATTTTGGCCAGCTTATATTCAATTCAACCCTTTCAAGCTCAACATTAGCTGTGCTAGTATTATCACTCTATTAAAAAAGGCAATTTAAATCCTATGTCAAATAAATATAGATCATAATCTATATTTAATTATGGAGTAGTAAGGAATCTTCTTTATAAAAAATTCCCCGTAAATAGGAAAGTCTTAATGTTGATTTTGGATCAAATTATACTTATAGAAGAAACTTTATTTTTTATTTTATTTTTATACACACGCATTTCGAATAATTAAAATTATATATCATTTTAAAAGACAATAGAAAACAATTTATTTAATCAATTATTTAAATCACAAAATATATAGGATTACAACCTTGTGGTTTATATTTATAGAGCCTAATAATGGAAGATAATAAATATTAAAATACATCGATATCAAACAGTAATAATTCTATGCAACACAGCATAGCGTGTGGAATGATCCCAGCCCTCTAGAGGAGTCAGGTTCATCGATCTATACCACTGGTCTTAGTATGCATCATATTAACTATAAATTTAGTTTAATGAAAGAAATTATACAATCTCAATAACTTTTTTTCCTTTTTTTTTTTTAATTATTATGAAAATATTAGTATTTCAAATATTTAAAAAAAAAAAAAGAAAAAAAAAAAAGACGTCTTACAAAATATAGCTCAAGAAATCCATATTTTGAGAGAAGGGTCAGAAATTCGGAATATAACTTCTTCTTCTTCTTTTTCAAGTTTTTTTTTTTTTTTTTTAAACCATTAAGTATGGTTTACTATATAGTTGTAGAAAATAATCTTCTTTGATCTCAATTTTATATTAAAAATACACAATGCTTAAGAGTTCTTTTTTTATTAAACAAATTTATTTTTATTATTGTTCATGATTGTCCCTACTAAAATAAATCAGTGAACCTTTTCATTGGCTATATTGTGAGAATAAATATTTAGTACGCTCAGCATATCTTGTCTAGACAAAACTTTTGAATACATTTATTTTCATATCTGCGAGTTACTTTATCGACTATTTTGATTTCATGATTCTGTAAAATATGTACACTAATCGTTTCCTGGCCTCAAGAAAATCAGCAAAGAGAGACCTAGAGCTAGCTCGTGCAATCCATCACAAAAGAGAGGCTTCAGTGCTTATTACATGAGTCGAATTGATAGCGAGATCCTCTCTTGCTCCATATTGGGCCGTTGTCCCTCTCATTCATTGATTTTGCACTGTACACCGAGTTAATCTAAATTATTCATAATGCCGATATGTGTTATTCACGCATACACAGCTCAAATTAACCCGGTACACAAAACACACCCAATATCTACTCATACTTTGACATGCGTTTCATTATAAGCTTAGCTTGATTTTTCTTGAAAATTGGAATGTGCTTTGTGTTGGTCTGCATATTCGCATGGGCGCATGTGAGAGCTTCATCAAATTAAGGAATTATTATTCAACTGCCAAGTGAGGTGATCTTGGTTGATTGGTTGGCATGCATGCTTCATGCAGCCAATTGCTTAAACATTGAATACATTATAATAATATATACACATTATTAGGTATATAATATATATATATATATAATTTGTCACATCTTAACAAAATCAATAGATGGGCGTATGGATCAAAAAAGGATAGATTAGAGATGTCTGCAGCCAAAAAGTAGGGTGTTAACTGTTATGTAATCCTTGAAATTAAAAATATGTACATGCATGTGTATAAAATATATGTACCCCGAGTATAATAATATTTCTAATTCTATTATAATTAAGTTTTTATTTTACTTATGTCACATATTCGGTAGCACGTTGTGTCCACAACGTGAGCTCTCTAATTGAAAGGGAATCTTAGTTGATTCCTTATAGCGGTGGTGGATGCACCATTAGGGAATTAAGATTTACATTTTATATTTTAATTTATATAATATAATATAGATCCACATATATATATATATATATATATATATATATATATATATATCACATCCATAATTTGATTTTTATAACCAAATTGGAGGTCTTTTGAGTCAAAACAAGAAAGAGTTGATACAACATTCAAACTAGCTAGTCCAACTATTTCGTTGTAAATGGGAATCACACTCCACCACAGTGAAACAGTCTGATTAGTTCACTTATTAGACTACATAATAATAATAATAATATTATTATTATTTTTATTATTTACAAAAAAAATGACTTTCTCTTAGATTATAGCAATATAGAAACTCAACCATCGAACTTGTTCCAGTGCTATTCTCGGGTTATATTTTGATGCTTAAAATCATTAAAAAGAAAAATAAAATATCAACCAAGCAAGTGATACATAATACAAACACAAACATATCCATATAACATTTTTTTTTCTTTTTCTTTTTTTGGTATATATATATGTATACAAAAATGTTCACTTGCTTTTTGATGTGCAGAAAAATATACGCACACCTCAAGTATTAATTATCAGATTCCATTATATGCTTTTATATCCAACGATTAAAATTTAATTCGTGCATAAATTTTTTACATATGAATTTTAATCCGTGCATAAATTTTTTACATATGCAAGTACTCTCTGACTCTCACACCTTCACCAAAGGCCAAACAAGCTTTATTTTGAAACAAAAGAAGATGAGATGGTCCATCATCCGGTCTAGCACGAGTCTGGAATTGGCCCATTTTTTGTGGGC